TCAGAAACACAAAGTATTAATTGCATTACAGCAAAAACTCGGACTATCATTTAAGAATGAGAAAAAAGACTGTATTACCAAAGAATGACGTAGTCATACATAACAAGTTGATTAATTTATAGTAGAAAGATTTGATGAAAAGATACTCAGGTTCTGTTATCATATTCATTCTTATAAAAATACCTTTATCGTTAAAATAAGAAATTAATGAACACAAAAACAATTGGAAATCACTCTTATCACAATGCACATCTCTTCAAACATGTGCTTTATAATTCACACATTTTTAATTTCAATAGCAACAAAATTTAAGGTATTGAAAATCATTTATATAAAAGATTATTAAAAGAAAAATACTTCAATTTCATTTAAAATATATTATACATTTATATCATTTGATTCTAATTTTTAATTCCAGTGCAATACATTTTAAAAGAGGCTAAATCAATCTTGTCATTAAATGGTTTAATGAAATAAATTTTTTGAGCAAATTCAATATTTTACATCTATCAAACATAACATACAAATTTTTGTTATCGCCTTCAATGATCAAAGAATAATAAAATTCATTAATCAAAGTGAAAATTTGGAATCAATTAACACGTCTATTCTAAAAAGAATTCTGTAATCATTTCAATACCTTTCCTCTTTTTGTTTGAATTTTCAAACAGCCAAAAAATCGACGGATATCTTTAGTGTTTACTACTGTAAGATTGTGATAGAATATATATATTAAAATTACTCGATTACGTGTTAATCAAGTATAAGGTCATTAAGTAATCACGGCAAACAGCTTACTGTGAAATCAAATTCTCCTGTAACGAATTACACGTGCGAGGAATCTGCCTCGTGCATATAATTTATCGTTATCGTAATTTTATAGTACTGGAAAGCATTAATTCGCCTCATAAATATATTTGCAACCAAATCACCGACACTTTTTCACTTGTCAACGGCAAATTACAAAGTCACGGTAACACTCGATTCGCCAATTAGTATGTTAAATTATGTTGATTTATGTTTCGAGCTACGCGTTAAACGCACTCTTACTAACGCCGTTTCATCGCACGTGCGTTTCCAACAACTTCGATGATTATTAAAAATTTTCAATGATTTTTCTCAAAGCTTATTGCAGTTACTTGGAAATTTGTTACTCTGTTATTCAAATGTCAATAGCACTTTGAAAGTCCTTTTCTGTAATTAATTGATTAATTCAAATGTTATTTCTATTAACCATCGTGGTAACGAGTTAACAAATTAGAAATTTCGAGTACTATTTTATCATATTTTTAGGGTCAAATGTCGTTTGAAACTCGGGGATTGTTTTTTATGCAATAACAAAATATAATCTTCGTTTTTATTTGCCATTTTCGTATCAATATTATACACGAGCCACGTGTTGTTTATCTCATTGATTATAACCGTAATAACAAATGATGCATGTCGTTTTACATACAATTACTAATGACCAAATGTATTTACGGTTTGTGCATTACTAACCAAAGAGCCAACCAGGCAAAATTTTATATTCAAATGCACGCATAATTGATTATACATGCACCTATGTAATCATGATTTCATATATTCAAAAAGAATAGTACTTTAAAATTTCTTTTTATGATCTTTGACTCTTGTAATCGTAAATGTTTAACAGTTACAAGAAAAAAATATTGTTTAAACTCTCTGCAAAACATTTTCATGAATTTTAACCAATTTCCCTGAACAATCAGTCAACGATAATTTTTTAAGCAATTAATACTTTTATCATTAATCATCTCCTCTTTTTTTTCTCTGGTCCAAAAATAACTTGATAGATTTTAGAAATTGATAAATTTAGTTTCTTGAACGGTGAAGGCATTTTTCATTCTCTTTAATTGAAAAGGGGTAGCAAAAAGAAATTTCACAACTTTATAAACTTCTGGATTTGTAATTTTCTTTTATAAGATTCAAAAGCTTTCCAACCCTTCTTTCGATTAGGGGATGGAGGTAGTAAATCTTCATGAATAGAATAATAGAATAATTGAAAGAAAATTAATTAAAGAAAATTCGAATTAACATGATATTAATTTCGTAAGGTAACGAAGTATCGAAAATTCTGTAAATTTCTTAAACGAAAAGAGTAAATAAATAAATATTTTTACAGGGTGAAAGTTTCAGCTGGAAAATCGTGGTGAGGGTGCGAATTACATTCGAATGGAAAGTTAAACGGCGTGACGCTTGTAAAAATAACAATGAACTGTAAACGTTTCGATGTTGAGCGAAACATTTTCACAATCGTGCGATATGAAAAGGGGCAATTAAGCTGAGTTTAACTTTCAGTGACGCACAAAAAGCGTGTGCCGAGCAATTTTCCACTGTACATACACTGTCTCGGTCCTTTTCGTTCTGTTGCAAATTTTTGCCATTTTATTTCCTGGAATCTCGCAACCTGTAGGTGTATATTTTTTTTTTAGCTTCAACTGCACACCCTTGCACGGTGTAAATTCCTTCCGGTTGCAATGCGTTGCAACGTATTTTGGGTTAAACATTTATTTGCACGTTAACGTGGTACAGATTTTAAATTAATCACTAGCTGCTTTCATTTACTTCAGCATTATGTCGTTAAACATTTATGGGCTGGTAAAGACTGTAATGTACGCGGTATTTCATTGTTATATGGAGAACTTTCGTGCACGCTATATTTTAAAATTATGGGGATAACCTTTTTATATTCTGAATGTTTTTATATTTAAAAATGTCATAGGTGTTTAAGCATTCATAAGCTGTTCATTTTCATTAATTTGTAAAAATGGAACATTTTTTATTTTATCTGAAGAATTATTAATATTGCACATATGAAGTAACTCTATAATATGAATGGTTTGAAAAGTAGACATTGTCTGATAAAAAAAAATTACTTTAAAGTAATTAATCCTATTGTGAAAATAAAAGAATATTTTATATTATAATAAAAAGAATATTATTTTGATTATTTCAGATATAAAGTTTAATATTTGAAATTTAAATAAGACAAAGCGTTCTTATCCACAAAATCACAATATTTATTTCTTTTTTAAATAAACATTAAGAAACAGTAGATGCTTTTTATCCATAATAATCGATTCAAGGAATATTCTTCTTAGCAATGGTGTATCCAGACGCCATACGTATTGAAAGGGTTAAAAGTGTTCTTTCGTCCCACGTTTTCTCGTTGCTTGGTACCTCTCGTTACATAAGGCGACACGTACACACATGCCTTCGTTATTTATGTCATTTCACAGGTTTTCTTTGGGTCAATCCGTTTAGAACGGTGCACGCACGTGTGTCCCGACGCCGACGCCGACTAAACCGTGGAATCGGTTTAATGTTAAACAGTTCGCCGGCCAGCTACGCAATTAGATTACACTCGTGCAACGATAAACGATCAGGGTACGGTCTTCCTGTTCGCGATCGGCTTGGCTTTCACGAGAAACTCGTGGCTTTTCGTGAAATCGACCACGCGATCGGCTCGTCAACGTTGATTTCTGCTTCAGCCACCAATCAACCGTTTCTACCTCACCCTTTTCCTATCGAATGTGACTGCAGTTTGTTATCGATGAACTTTTTAACGCGCCTCTTTTCTTTCTTTATACGGAGAATGTAATGTATGTCGTTTTCCTCTTCTTTTTTTATTTTCTCACTAAAAATAGTGTTTCCTATAACAATCGGTGTGGAATATATGTTTATTTCCAAATTGCAAATAAATCAAAATGATTTTTAATACGAGAAATTACTGATTCTGATAGATTTTCAATTACTTTTCACCTGGTGCCATTACAAGTTGCAATTATGCTTTAATATATGTGATAAAATGCAGAAAAATAATCTACTTATAATATAAATATCCTCTTTTGTAAGCATTTTTTTTAATCAAAAATGAAAGATTTGCAATCTATCATTTGGTGGGGTTGGTCGTTTAAGTAGTCTATTGATAGGCAAATGCAAATTTCGCCCACGCGCCTAATGGTACGCTTAATTATACGCAGTAATAGATAAGTTGCACCTAACAAACTTTGAGCGATATTTAAACATTACCTCTTGATTTAGCGACATACACATGATATTGTGTATCTCGTTGCTTGAATTGCATCTGTGCACTTTCCACCTGCAAACGCATAATTAAAGTTCGGGAAATTTTGATTAATTCAAATGAAGACAACAATAATAAAAATGCAAGATAAATATAAAATCAGTAATAATATTATGCCAAATTATTAAAAAAATTTAGTTTAATTCTTCTAAAAACTTTTTGCAGACTAATTGATAACAGTGGTAAATTAATAGCAGAAAAATGTAAATTATTAACTATTATTAACATATTTTCACTCGTGAAACCATATGTGATGGGTTTAAGCATTTCATCGTGAAAAGTTTGTTTGAAATTAGAATGCTACACCTGGGAACCTGTCCCCATAAAATAAGTGTTAGAAGAAGGGAAATGTTTTTGCGGATAAGACAGAAGTGTGCGTTTGAAAGTGCAAAGGGAACGTTACGAAACAAAGCGACCGATGAGAAGCAAAGGTCAGCTGGGCGCATCGTTGCACGCTTAATTTGAAAGAAACTCGTCGCTCCTGTTCTTTTTCTTTCGGATTTTCTTATGCTTCCTTGCTTCACAATTCGCCTATCTTTCATTCGTGGGATGTAACTTTAAATAACTTTTGCAAAGAATAAAAAATAAGGTAGATACTATTTAAAATATTCTTTTAAAAAGATATTCTGAATTTCTTCGTACAGTTAAATTTTGTAAACCTTTTTAAAAATCCTTTCTTTCCTACTTAAATTAGAAAAAATATTGTTTTGAATTTGGTCATTTTTGTCTAATTGAAATGATTCATGTGTTTGTAAAAAATTCCAGATTATAATGCAAAAATGTTTATTTGATTTATATTAATGTTTCATTATTGGTAATGAATTCAAAGATTACGGTAAAAGTGAAAAATGAAATTAGAAAAATAAATTGCTTAGTATCAATTAACTTTTATTCGAATACATACATATGAAGGTACATAACAAAAATCTTTATAATATTTACAGAGTCGTTTATTTTTCTTAATTTGATAGAAAAGATAACATTTTAAATAGAATTCGTGAAGCGCCTTGCTGTGAAAGCTTCGAGTAATTCTGCGATGAATGGGTTGCCATCGATTGGGCGCTGTGTTTCACCGAAATCCAAAATCTGCACTTTTAACAATGAATATCCTACTTTAATTACTTTTTAACGAATAAAACACTGTACAGAACATTTTGGTAATGCATTCGAACAAAGTAATAATTTATTTTTTAATTAGACATTAAAATAAAAGGAACAGTATCAAGAGAATATTAATTGAATCATTAGTAAAAATTTTTACTTCAAATTAACAAATTTATATCAAGCTTTTTTCTGTAAAATTTTATTCAGCTTCTGACGATGAGAAATATATATTAAAAGCGAATTTAATATGCGCAACACGTTTGGAAAAAAACAGAACAAAGTTGGTTGAAACAAAGTTTCTTTTTTTGCTTATTTCCTTGAATGCAAAATTTTTTCAGAATGCAATATTTCTTTAGTGTAAACCGCATCAAATATGATATTCTGTTATAATACAATTTTTGTAGTTCTCTTTATGAGGTATCAGTAGTCTCCGCGTGTTTAATTAATCACTGACTAGATTTTATATGAAATTATAAATTCAAGAGAACTTTCGACTTTCACGCATACATGGAGGCACATATGAACACATAAAGTTTACTAAGCATTAGTATCGTGAAGTGAACATGACCTAGCTGTAATTTAGAGTTTACAAGTTCCTATGACTGGATAGGTAATTTTTCTTTCTAAATGTGTTTAATAAAGACAGGCTATACTAACAAACTTTTTACGTACAGTTCTATAGACAACGTTGAAGCTATTTATAGCAGAATAACTTAAATTATTAGAGCGACAATTTTTATTGCTATTCTTCGTATCTAGTTTTTTAAGGAAGAAAACTTAATTTATTAGAAAAATCGTACTGTTTTAAATTATTCAAAATATCAATTTAATTATCTTTAATTAAATTAAGAAACATTAATAATTAAGAAACAGTGCCACAAAGTAATTAAAGAGTGTAAAGATTGCACGGTTGATTTTGATATAAACAAATTAATTAATTACATTTTGCTCTAGATGGAATATTGTTTATAATACAGTAGAGAATGTTGCATTTTCTATCAGATATAATACAATTTCATATCAGTTTAAAGGTACTCTAGGAAAATATTGATAAAGTGTTCATTACATTTAAGTAGCGCTAATTATCTACACTTAAGCTTATCCAAAATTAATCAGTATTCATCATAATTACCTATTAGACAGTTAGAGAGTAGAAATTTATCATAGTTAAATAACAAACTCCCTTAAAATCTCCTATACGAAATCCACTACTGTTCTATACAGTATTAATTCATTGAACTTCATAGCCTGAAAATAATCAATGTAATTACAGCTCGTTGCTATATTTAGACGAATAATAGCTACCATAGAAACATGCTTAAAGACATATTCAAGAACACATCGTTTTACAAGGAAATCAATTAGTTTAGATTGTTAAACCCTTTTTTATACTTAAATTTGTAATTTCGTAAATTAATTTATACAATATTATTTTCAATAACGCTCGCAATGTTCAAGATATCTATTTTATGGGACACCATAAAATTATTTAAACAGCGAGCGACCACTAATAATCTCACGGCAATTTGGTCCACGTGAAAATGTTATTTTCTCTTTATTATTACGATACGTTCCGTGTATTATCACGTACGGTCGCGTTATCACGGAGCCGCAGGTATCACGCGAGCATCGCTTGCCAGCGTCCCTTGTGCACGCCATCGCGCGTATCCGCGAACGTGTCACGCGAACACGCGTCCAAAGCCGCTTCTCGTACGTGGCGTAGATAATTATACGTGTACACGCGTGTGTAATTGTGCGCACATGGCAGCGACACGTGCGCGCGAGAACGCGACGCAATGTTCACGCATTAAACGCGGCAATAAATACGGTATACCCAACGGCAAGGCATAATGGACGATAAGAAAAGGACGTCGGTATCGTCAGCTGATATCGGTCGGGAACCATCGCGGCCACGTGTTCCGTGGCCGGAATTGAACGATGGCCGCGTTAAGAAACGCCGCGAATAAATCGCGCGAAACTGCGCGCGCTTCCGCAGACGCTGATTCGCCGCGCAGGAAGTGCGTCAGCGGTGCTCCAATCTCCGGATCAAAACGGAATGTTAGAAATTATTTTTTTGATCGTCCCTTGAACCATTCTAACTTAATTTTGTAGAATTTTAGAAGTTGGAATTCGAATTTGGAATTTGGAATTTTGCAATTTGAAATTTCGGAATTTGGAGTTTGGAGTTTGGAATTTTTATGTGCTGGAATCTTTGAATTTTGGGGTGATGGGTGGGCCAGTCCACATTTCTGGAGGCAGCTGACATTAGACAAATCTCAGATATCTCAAACTTACGGATGTTGATCGCAACTGAAATAAATCAAGCTCAAAATGATCACCTTCCTCATTGATCGCCCAATCCGCGTTCCCTTCGTGTCTCCGACAATAATCAAGCAAGCCGAGTCTCTGTCTGACGAGTCACAGTTTCTGTCAACAGTCGGAAATTAAAATGTACGGGTGTCGCGGTCGCAACTAACCCCGGGAACTTCAACGGTGAAGCAGTGAGCAGCCGCGACAATAAGCACGAAAGAGTTGTATTAAAAAAAAAAGAGAGAGAGAGAGATAAAAAAGAGAGAATGATAAAAAAAGAACGAAAAGAAAAGCAAAAAGAAAAGAAAACAGAGAGACACGTTCGAGATGAACAGGAACCGAGGGAAGATAGTAGCACAGGGACCGGTACAAATGTTTCTTCTGCAGCAGGGTTGCGGGGTGCAGTTCAGACATGGGAAGTGAGCATTACTGCCTGAGGTGGAACAATCATCAGAGCAACTTGCTGGGTGTGTTCAGTCAATTGCTGGAGTCGGAGTCGCTGGTGGACGTGACACTGGCGTGCACGGAGGGACCTTCGATACGTGCCCACAAGGTAGTCCTCTCCGCGTGCTCCAGCTACTTCCAGGCCCTGTTCCTCGACCACCCGAACCGCCACCCCATAGTCATCCTAAAGGACGTACGTTTCGCCGAGCTACGTACCCTCGTCGACTTCATGTACAAAGGCGAGGTAAACGTCGAGTACTGCCAGCTATCGGCCCTCCTAAAGACAGCGGAGAGCCTTAAGGTTAAGGGTCTAGCGGATATGACAAACATTAACGCGGCGGTAGCGTCGAGAGACGACCAACAACAACAACAACAGCACCAACAACAACAGCAGCAACAGCAACAGCAGCAGCAGCAGCAACAACCACAGCAGCAACAGCAGCAACACACGAGCACATCCGAGGGTATACAACGCGAGACATCGCGAGAACATCATCGAGAACGCGAGAGTATAAAGGAATCGAGCAATAAAGAAAGAGACAGGGAAGGAAATACATCCGGTGGCACGGGACTGCCATCCGGCGGGGTGAAAGAATGCGAACAGACCCAACCGAACGTTACCCAACCACCCACCAGCGAGTCCACCGAGGCGGTAGACATGACCGACTGTCCGCCATCGCCTACAGGACCCGGTAGCCCTTGTCCAGGACCTTTAGCCCTTGATCGACCTAGGAGGGACTCCGAAGATGTCGCCAGTCTAGAAGAAACCAGGGGTACCCTTAGTCCGATCTCGGTACACAGTGGACCATCGGATATGAGTCTAAGTAACAATACTGGTGGCACGCCTGGCGTGCTTCCGTTGAACCTACCACAGAGCCGACTTCCGTCCCCGCACAGTACAGAACCTCTCGCGGGCCCGTCGGGGTTACCCCCGGTCCAACAAGTTCCCCTTGTGAGTATAATCTTTAATTTTTATCATTATAAATAATAAATTTAATTAAGTATGTACTGCCCATTGGTCACAAGAAGTCTCGTGGGAGGGCACAGGGGCAAGATGTGATCGCTTTGACCAATCATACGTCACGATCGAAAGTACGCGTGACCTGAGGTGGGGCACGTCCAATCAGATTGCATTATTCTCATGGGACTTCTTCTGATTGGTGGACAGTATATGGTTGCGTGCAACTTAAGTTCTCCCTAGTGCTCCCTAGATTTTCTAGGGTTCCCTAGGATTTTACTTAACCCTTCGTTGCATTGTGTTGTAAATATACGTAAAATAATGAAATACACAAATTTTATTATCAATAAAATTATAAAAAATACAAACTTACATATTTGCAATATTAAAAATTATTAATTTCTTGTCAAAATTAAGAAAATTATGTAACGGAGGGTTAGTCGTGGGAAGTCTACGTTGCACACTTTTGGCACTACTTTATTATTGTCGATATATGAAGAAAATTTTTTAATGTTCGTTTGCAGTCGTTAAAAAAAGAGATAGACTGGGAAAGGTCGACCGAGGAGCGAAGCGCGAGCAGCGAAATATCCACGGACTACAGACTCCCACCAGAACCGGTGAGTTTTCTCTCTTTCCTCCGCTATATATTCCAATTTATTGACTACTTTTTATTCTCGTACTTTCTCTTTACTCTGCATTTGTATATCGATTACGGTTGTCGTCGTCGTACACGTCGCTCGTCCGCAATCGCGTGTCGCACACGTTGGTGTTCTCGACGGATTGCGAATGAGCCGACGGTGAATCTTGCAAACGAAAATGATAAAAAAAAGAAAAGAAAAGAAACGCCTGCAATTTTGTCGAATTTCAATCGTACTCGTGCAAGATCACGACGAATCGTTCGTTCGCGCGCTGCTCGTTGCGAACGACCGTTGAACAGCGTTAAGATCGTCATCCGGAAGGATGATACGATACTTACGAGGAACATCAACAACACGATCCATTTTATCTATCTATCTATTTATATATCTATCTATTTGTTTGCCTATCTATCCGCGCCGATAGATAGACAGGCATACATATTATATTTCGAGTTCACTTTGCATGTGGGTCTATTGCATGCGTGCCCAAGTGCTTTGCTGTTTGCTGCTCTCCCTGCTAATTTTGAAAGTGATCGTGTCATATATTAACAGTCGTCCTGACAATCGATAGAACAGTGTGATCGGAGGTTCGACGACAGAGATGTGTACTTTACTTAATTCTCAATTTTCGTACACGATGGGAGCTTCATTGATTAACGTTTCGAGAATTAGTCGTTGGACGACCGTCCGCAGACGATGGTCCTTTGAACTCGTGATTTTTTTCACAATACCACGCGATAGGAAGTTGATTTTAAAAATAAAATAAAACGAGGCTCGTCCAAGAGACAAGCGCAATGATCAATTGAACCTAGCCGCTTGCCGATCGTTTTTTAGCTTCAAGCGCCCCGTAAAGAAAAGATCTTCGTCGAGACGCGCTGCGCAGAAGGAGATCGATCAGTGCATGCCGTCTACTTTGACGAACGTATTATCTTCTTTTTTCCAAACTAATTCACTTTTCCGTGCATTAGTCCCGTCTTTTCAATCCTTCGTTCTCCATCATTCTCGCGGGATTATCCAGAGTTTACCATTTTATCCACGTTCCCTTCGCTGTGTCTTCGTGTGTCTATCTGTCTATCAGTTTCCTCGTGCGCTGTTTTTCGTCGATCTGCCCTCCATTTTCTCCGTCCCACTCCGGAAATAGGAAGAAAATTATTCGATTATTCGTCAGTCGATCGGATGGTTCTTCTAAGAATTGTTCTATGCTCACATTACACTTACATATCTTACACCTTGTAATTATTTTCATTCACAGTAGACTCTTGTTATATTGCCACGTGAGCTTGGAAATTTGAAAAATTTTTCTACAGCCCCGTCCACGACAATATAACGAGAGTCTACTGTATAATATCTGCCGATATAAGCGAAAGCCTTGGTGCGGCAGAACAATTATCAACCCTTTGAAGAGGGAAATTCTATTAAAAAAAAAATAAAAATTTGAAGCATAGATATTATATCAAAATTAAAAATACTTCTTCCTCAAAGGGTTAAAGTTCTCAATGCTCATCGACACTCAATGTTCGAAGGTCCCTTGGAAACTACCAATTTCAATATTTTCCCATTTCGGAGCCCAGTATTTCATGGATTCCAAGCAAATAGTATTAAAATCTATGATACTTGAAATATTCATTAATTCTCCACCCTTGCTCCTACAAGGATCGATGGAAAAATCGGCGCGCGACTTCCTGTTCCTCCCATCCTGCCAGCCTGTCTTGCTAGCTCACTGTCAAGAAGTTGACCTTCGTTTTTGGCCATGGTTGTTTTTTACTACATTTTTATATATATATATATGTATATAAATACATAAATATATATATGTATATACATATATATACACATATCATATATATTGTTACATACATGTACTGATATATGCAGTTCACGTTTTTTTACATACATATATATATCGTTATACATATATACAAATTATATTGACATTCATTATTACCATTTGTTACTTACTTTGTAATATTTGTATTTCGATTTGTCGTTTTTTGGTTGAGTGCAATGCCTTTTGCTACGGCGAACAATTTTGCGCCGCGGCGATTTTGGCCGCAGTTTTATTACCTACGTTATGAAAAAAAGAGAAAAGAAAAAAGAAACGAAATTTGAACAAAAAAATAAGAATAAGAAAACAGTGAAAAAAAAAATGGGAGGAGGGACGAGGGGGCGGGTGGGTCGTTGTTGTTGTTGTTGTTCTTGAGCGAGGCTGTGGGGATTTTGCCGTGGGCCCGGTACTACATATGTGTCACTTGTTATCCCAGACCGACACATCTATACACCGTCCGTATATAGGCACGTATAATGACGATCGTTGTTACGTGTGTATATATTGACGCGTTCTATATACACACACTCAGACAGTTCCTTGTCATACATGTTTTAATATAAACCTGGGGGTGCGCGTCGTGCCAAACAAAAATGAGCGTCAACTTCTTGTGCTACCGTCTTACATGCCGTCGAGAGGGATCATTTTCTCGTAAGGCTAGGGACTTCTTTTTCCACAGAGCGATAAACAGCTGATAAATCCGGTGGAGGAAAGATTAATTAAAGATCTATCAAAGAGAGCCTCGTATACTTCCGGTCATGCCAAAAACGCGCTTCTTTACAAGTAGCGGTCTCGAGAAGACGAGCCTTGCCTGTTCTTTCTTTCTTTATTTTAACAAATATATATATTTTTTTTTATTATTATTATTTCCGCCTACGGTCTGGTGGCGATAGAGAAGTAGTCGAAAGATACGCAAGGCAACGGGAGAAATGAGAGAAAGAAAGAGAGACGTTATTCGAATGAGCAGCGCGAACGGGCGCCGATTAAAGGCTCGCCGCGACCCGGCTCCTACATACATATTATGTATACATATATGTATATACAAGATATCTGTGAATCGAGTAGTGTCGAAACGAGCGATTTGTCACGGCGAGGTGTAACATCCATGTCATAAGAGACACTACCGAAAGAGAAAGGGAGACGGTATTATATCTTTTCTGCTTGAAACGATCACTTCAAAGTAAAAAAGAAAAACAATAGATAAATAGATAGATAGATAGATGGATAGATAGAAATTTAGATAGATGATAAAAAAGTAAAATGGTGAGAGAAAGGGGGAGTGATAGAGCGAATGAGTGCGAGAGAGAAAGGGAGACGCTACTGTTGGGGGTGTAAGGACGTGCTAAAGAGGAAGACAAGAAGTTGATGTTCTTGTTTGTTTGGTTGCAGGAGTTGATGGGTGTGGATGAGCGGGTGTTTGCGTGCATGTACTGCGGTGCCTCGTTCCTCCACCAGAGCAAGCTGGCGCGGCACATCCTATCGCACAGCCTCGAGTCGCTCAAGTTCCGTGAGCAGGCGGCCCACCTGCAGCTGCAGGCTCAGCTGGGTCTCGAGCCCGGTATGCACCTGCCGCCCGAGGCCCACTACCCCACCGCAGGTACGATCGAGCCGATGGACCTCGAGCTCGCGGCCCACTCGGACCCGACCTCCGGCGTCGTCCTCTGCAAGTTCTGCGGCAAGTCGTTCCCGGACGTTGGCTCGTTGATAGCCCATCTACCTGCCCATACCGGGGACAGACCGTTCAAGTGCGAGTTCTGCGGCAAGGCGTTCAAGTTGCGGCATCACATGAAGGATCATTGTCGGGTACACACCGGGGAACGGCCGTTCCGGTGTACGTTATGCGGCAAGACCTTCTCGAGGTCGACGATACTGAAGGCCCACGAAAAGACACATTATCCGAAGTATGTGCGCAAGTTCCTGTCCCCGAGCCCGGTGGATCCCTCCGAGGAAGAGGCCCCGCCACCGCCGCCGCCGCATCATTGAGTTCGCCTTAGCCACGTTCATCGCCGCCGGAACAACAACAACAACAACAACAACAACAACCGCCGAAGGATGAATCGTCTTCAACGTTTCCGTTCGCCATCCAGCGTGAAGATGAAGACGAGGATAAGGGAAGATACAACGTCGCTTGATCGTAGGATCAACGAGTGTACACGGGGAACACTGTTGGACGAAGAGAAGGGGAACACGGACACGAGAAGTTCTACTAGTGGTGCCTCATTCTCATTCGCTCGTTGTTTCTCGTATTTCTTTCGTTTCTACCGGCTACCGTTTCTCCTGGTCATCATCATCATCATTATCATCATCATTATCATCATCATCATCATCATCATCATCTCTCGTGTCCTTCTTTCGACGCGACTGGTTCCGTTCAGTAGACCGCTGTTTACATTGAAACGTGTTGGTTACTGTTCACCAATGGATGATACTCGACGATCATTCGAGTCTCCTCGGTTTCTCCCTGTTATCGTTCCTGGTCTCTCCTGTCTTTTCGTTCGCCTACGCTGAGGTACGTGTACACCTCGCGTCTAATCGGCTCCCCAATTGAGCGACGAGGCAAAGAAATATACCGGCGGTGTTTCTAGTTAGTCCTGTGATTTTGGTTAGGATGGTTGGTAAACGCGTGTTCAGAGGGAGGGACACGTTAAAAACGAGCTCCCTCGTTTAATCAGTGCTTTAAGACGAAACGTTTAGCTTATATATGTATATATATACACGCATATATATATACATCGATAAATTATTGAAGGTATATATATATACACGTGAGAGAGAAAGATAAAGTGTGATAGAAGAAGCGTAAAAGAAGAAGGGGATGAAAGAAAGGAAAGAGAGAAAGTGATGAGGAGCGAAAGTGTGGGAGAGAAAGGAGACGATGAAGAGAAAGAAGATGAATTAAGAAGAGGACGATGAAGATAATTGAAGAATCGGGTTTTATATCGGGATGATTTACGCGAGATAATTAATTACGAAGAAAAATGATAAAAAAAAAAAATGAGAAGGGCGAATGGAGAAATTGAGCCGCCACGGTTGGTGCTTTTAAGAGATTTTGATAAAATGCTGTGAATATTATATTGATTACGATTAACTATAAAAACTATTGTAATAATGTAATAACGTTGTACGATGTACGATGTGACTGTTGTTGATACGA